TCCTCCTCCCCCGCCTGAGCCCGGTGTCAAGACAGAGTCAAGAAGACCGGAGACGAGGGAGGCCGCAGGTGGATGGTTCGGACGGATCCTCACCTTGGCGTTCCACCACACCCCCTGGTCCACACAACAATAACCAGGATTTCAACCAACACAAGACAGATTTGGAGGCTGGCATGGCCGAAGCAGGCGCACCTAGGCGTGCCGCCAACGCCTGGCTCGGATCCCACACTGTGGTGGCAATGCCATAAAGGCCACATTAAAAAGGAGCCATTGCAGCCTGACTCTCAGACCGCCTCCAGTAATGGAGGAGGTCCAAGGTACCCCGTCAGTTGGCAACCTTCCAAGCCACGGCTTTTAGCGCACCATGATAGCTTCAAGCGCGTCAGACTGATTATAGTGAGGAGGAAGTTTGCTGAGTCGTCGACCTCACTCTCACTTCCCACTCCCTTACCCCAACCGCTGTCCGAGCCGGTCAGCAGACTGGAGTGGGGAGTGGGCGCGGTGGCTGTCATGGTCGACGGACCACCTTTTCTAGGCCCTTTTCCTCGTGGTCGCAGGCAGTGCCGTCCCTGAATCGGGCTGCCCATGTGCCTGGTTGGCGCTACCGAATCCAAATATGGAGCCACGCCTTTTATGTTGGTAGTGGAGAACGACCGCATGTGTCGTGAGTCCGCGGTCTCCGTCGGCGAGAGTGGGCGCGTCTCATCGAAGGCGATTCAAAGACCCATCCCGGCAGCAGTTATCCAACGGCGTACCAGGCAGAGCCTCGTCTCGACGATGCCGGCGCAGTGTTTCATCCGACCATCCATCCAGCGGAGTCCGCGGTACGCTGTGCACTCGGCACAAGTGCAGAGCGCCCTCACCTGGTTTAGCCCGACGGTCGAGACGGTTGCCCGGGGTGTGGCCGCTGAGCAGAGCCCAGCTACGTGGAGCCACAGCACACACACACACACACACACACACACACACACACACACACAGCGCACCATGATAGCTTCAAGCGCGTCAGATTGATTATAGTGAGGACAAAGTTCGCTGAGTCGTCGACCTCACTGTCTCTTCCCACTCCCTTACCCCAACCGCTGTCGGAGCCGGTAAGCAGACTGGAGTGGGGAGTGGGCGCGGTGGTAGGAGGGAGTGAATGTGTGGTGTGACCGGCGGTTGTCTACCGCAGGTCGTCGTGGATGCGCATGTGGCCGAATAGACGCATGCGATGCGTGAACGTGCGAGGGCAGTGTGGGCAGTGGAGGCGAGTGCGGTGGGTGTAGGTTGGTGCTCCAGGCACTGGTTCGCCAGTCTCTGTGCGATGGATTCGCAAGTGACTGACCAGGCCGATGCGTGAGGTGAAGGTGCGCGGACAATATGGGCATGAGAGGTCGGCGGTGTCGGTGTCAGCTGTAGAGGAAGCAGCGGTGTTGGTGGTGGTGGCGGTGCTGGTGATCGGCGCGTGTGACAGTGGAGCGAGGATGGGTCTGGGCGTGGTGGATGTGTTGGATGTCGTGGCTGTATCGGAATTGTGGTCAATGCCGCTCTCGTGGATGCGCATGTGGCCGAATAGACCCATGCCGTGCGTGAAGGTGCGAGGGCAGTGTGGGCAGTGGAGGCGAGTGCGGTGAGTGTAGGTTGGTGCTCCAGGCACTGGTTCGCCAGTCTCTGTGCGATGGATTCGCAAGTGACCGACCAGGCCGATTTGTGAGGTGAAGGTGCGATCGCAGTGAGGGCAGACGTAGTCCTGGCCCTCACGTCTGATGATGGAGGTTGCAGGGGTTGTGCCTGTTGTTGTGTCAGGTTCGGCTGTGGTGAAGTCGTGGGCGACAGCCGCCGAAGCGGCCGTCGTTGTGGCAGGGAAGGAGGAAGAGGAGGAAGAAGGGGAGGAGTGAGGGGTGGTAAGGTCGGTGACGTCGATGTCAGCAGGGGAGTGGTTAGTTGGTGCACAATGTGATGGATTAGGAGTGGGGCTCGGCGGGGTGGGTGTGTCAACGCTGCGGTCAATTCCGCTCTCGTGGATGCGCATGTGGCCGAATAGGCCCATGCGGTGCCGGAAGGTGCGAGGGCATTGTGGGCAGTGGAGGCGAGTGCGGTGGGTGTAGGTTGATGCTCCAGGCACTGGTTCACCAGTCTCTGTGCGATGGATTCGCAAGTGACCGACCAGGCCGATGTGTGAGGTGAAGGTTCGGTCGAAGTGAATGCAGGTGTAGTCCTGATCCTCATCACTGGAATCGGGAGAGGTGGGGGTGGTTGAGGTTGTTGTGTCGTGGTTGGCGATGTATGAGACGGCAGCCTGAACGGCCGCCGCTGGGGCAGTGGAGGAGAAGGAGGAGGATGGAAGTGGTGGTGCAGAAGGAGTGTCAGAGTTAGTTGGCGGCGGAGAGGACGAGGAAGGGTCGGGCGGGGGACGATGGCTGGAGCAGTTTGAGAGGTGCAGTTGGTTCGAAGATGTCCAACAAGTCCGATTTGTGCCCGGAATGTCCGTTGACATCGAGGACACGTAGGGAGCGGTTGTGCGGCGGCGTTGCGTACTGGGCGAGATTGTGATTTGCGGGCTTCGCGATTCATTTTGGCGGCGGCGATGCGGTTGGCTTCGTAGATAGCAGCGCCCGTCTTCACTGTTCTCCTCCATGTCGGACGATCGCGGGCGAGCTCTTCCCAGTTGGTCGGGTTGATGTGCAGGCGCTTCAGGGAGGACTTCAAGGTATCCTTGTAACGGCGAATTTGGCCTCCTTGACGACGAGAACCCGTCGCGACGTCTCCGTAGAAGAGTCGTTTAGGTAGTCGCTCGTCGTCCATGCGCACCAGGTGGCCGCTCCAGCGAAGCTGCATTTGTCTCAACATGGAGTAGATGCCTAGTATTCCCGTCCGTTCCAGCACTTCGGTGTCGGGGATGCGGTCCTGCCAGTTCAGCCTCAGGATGCGGCGGAGACAGCTGAGGTGGAAGTGGTTTAGTCAACGTGCCTGCCTCGTGTACACCGTCCAGGTCTCCGCTCCGTACAGTAGCGCCGGCAGGATGACGGCCTTGTACATCTTCAGTTTCGTGCTCAGTTGGAGACCATGACGATTCCAAACTGTGCTTTGGAGGCGTCCGAAGGCTTGACTGGCTTTCGAGATCCTGTTGGCGACTTCGTCGTCGATCTTGGTGTTGCGGGAGAGCGTGCTGCCCAGGTACGGGAAGTTCTCTACCACTTGCAGTTGAGTCCAATTCACGCTGATTTGCGGCGGCACATTGGATGCTGTGGCTGAGTTGGGCGGAGGTTGCTGCATCACCACCGTCTTCTGCGTGTTAATGACCAGGCCGAAGTTCTCGCAGGCGGCGGAGAATAGGTCCGTGCTCCGTTGCATCTCCTCTTCTGAGGTGGTGTTCAGGGCGCAGTCGTCGGCGAAGAGGAGTTCGTGCACGGTGGTTGTGGATACGCGCGATTGGAAGTTCATGCGCCGGTGATTCAGGAGATGACCGTCCGTTTTATAGGCGATGCGGATTCCAGGGCGTTCGTTGCGGTAGGCGTCCATCAGCATGGCAGAGAATATGAGACTGAAGAGGGTAGGCGCCAGCACGCATCCCTGCTTCACTCCGTTGGTCACTGCGAATGCCTCTGAGACAGCTCCGTTGTCCGTGACTCGCGCCATCATATCGTCGTGCAGCTGACGCACCATCTGAGTGAATCGCTCCGGACAGCCGAATTTCTGCATGATCTTCCACAGTCCTTCACGATTCACCGTGTCGAAGGCTTTCGTCAGGTCCACGAGTGTAGAGTACAGGTGGGTCCGCATCTCCTGGCACTTCTCCTGTAGTTGGCGGGCGGCGAAGATCATATCCGTGGTCCCACGATGACGACGGAAGCCGCATTGGCTTTCCGGCAGAATGCCCTGTTCCAGATGGCTATGGAGGCGGTTGAGAAGGATGCGAGCGAAGATCTTCCCGGCGATGTTCAGCAAGGAGATGCCACGGTGATTGTCACAGACTTGGCGGTTCCCCTTTCGCTCGTAGAGATGCACGATGGTTGCGTCCTTGAAATCTTGCGGGACTTCGCCTTGACGCCACATCTCCTGGAAGATCGCAGTCAGGTGATCCATCAGTTGGGGACCTCCGTGCTTGTAGACCTCAGCAGGGATGGCGTCCGATCCGGGTGCTTTCCCGCTAGAGAGAAGCTGCACGACCCTGATCGTTTCCTGGAGAGATGGCGGGAGGTAGAGGTCCGCGTTGGTCTCCACTTGCGGAAAGCGGGCTATGGCGGCGTCGGAGATGACGGAAGGGCGGTTGAGGACGCCCCGGAAATGCTCGGCCCATCGCTGTAGGATTTGCGTCTTCTCAGTCAGGAGAGTGCTGCCGTTGGCGCTGAGGAGAGGAGCAGTTCCCTTCGTCGGCGGACTGTAGACAGCTTTGATCGCAGAGAAGAAGTTCTTCCATTCGTTGCGGTTCGCGTAGCCTTGGATCTCCTCAGCTTTGCGAGCAGTCCAGGCGTCCTGCATCTCGCGCAGTCGTTGCTGAAGCTGTCGACGACTGTGGTAGAAGGCAGCTTTGTTGTCCTCAGTGGGGTGATCTACGTGGGCTTTGTGTAGGCGGTTCTCCTCTGCAAGCAGATTTCTGATGGCGGCGTCTTTGTCGTCGAACCAGTCCTGGTGTTGGCGGGGAGCGCGACCGAGGACGGCGAGCGCCGTCGACTGAACCGTGTCTCGCAGTTGACAACAGCGGTCCTCCACGGAGGCGTTCTCGACAGGGGCGGCGTCGGCGATGGGGAGGTTGTCTAGCCGTTTAGCTAGCTCACTGCTGAAATGAAGATGGTGAGCGGCAAAGACATCGAGGCAACATTCAGCTTATCTAGGGGTCGCTTACCTTGTGGTCTCCTGCGAGGCTGTGGGCGAATACGCATCTTCGAGATGACGAGGCGATGATCGGTCCACCCGTCAGCACCAGCGATCGCCTTTGTCACCAGCATGTCTCGCTGATCTCGCCTCCGGACGAGGACATAGTCCAGCAGGTGCCACTGATGCGACCGAGGATGCCTTCAGGTGGCCTTCTCTCGCTCCGGCAGACAGAAGAAGGTATTCGTCAGGGTGAGGCGGTGTTCTGCGCAGGTGCGGAGGAGAAGCAGACCATTGTCGTTTGAGCCGCGGAGACCGTGGGGACCCAGCACTCCCCTCCAGGCAGTATGGTCTGTGCCGACGCGGGCGTTGAAGTCACCAAGGACAATCAACTTGTCCGCCTTCGACACAGTCGCCAAGAGGGCGTGCAGGTCCTCGTAGAATTTGTCTCTGACGGCGTCGGGGTTGGTCATCGTCGAAGCGTAGGCGCTGATGATGGTGGCGAATTTGCCTCCCCAGAGAGGCAGGCGGAGGCTCAGCAGGCGATCGTTGATGCCCTGCGGCAAACAGGGCAGTCGTCCCACGATGTCGGTCCGGATGGCGAAGGCGACACCCGCGTCTCGTCGCTCTGCCCTGGGTCGACCAATCCAGAAGAAGGTGTAACCGGCACCCACCTCCTCCAGTTGGCCTTGTTCGGAGAATCGGGTCTCGCTGAGTGCGGCGATGTCCACCTTGTAGCGCGCCGGTTCTCGTGCCACTAGCGCCGTCCTCCGTTCCCGTCGGTTGCTCCTCGGATTGTCTAAAAGGGAACGAACATTCCAGGCTGCCAGAGTGAGCGGGCTCACCCTGCCAGTCTGGTGACAACGAGTGGGGCGACGGGAAGGAGGTGGAGAAGAAGATGACGAAGGAGAAGAATAGGCAGAAGAATAGACGGAGTTAGAGGAAGAAGAGATAGGATGAGGAGAATGAGTATGGTTTTTGTTGTTGTTGTTGTTGTTGTTGTTGTTGTTGTTGTTGTTGTTGTTGTTGTTGTTTCGATTTTGATTGTTTCGACCGTGTTGATGGCATCTGCGGCCTTGGCTGGCCTGCAGACGGCGTGGTGCCCAGCATTTTTTAGACCACCTTTTCTAGGCCCTTTTCCTCGTGGTCGCAGGCAGTGCCGTCCCTGAATCGGGCTGCCCATGTGCCTGGTTGGCGCTACCGAATCCAAATATGGGGCCACGACTTTTATGTTCGTAGTGGAGAACGACCGCATGTGCCGTGAGTCCGCGGTCTCCGTCGGCGAGAGTGGGCGCGTCTCAGCGAAGGCGATGAAGAGACCCGTCCCGGCAGCAGTTATCCAACGGCGTACCAGGCAGAGGGTCGTCTCGACGATGCCGGCGCAGTGTTTCATCCGACCATCCATCCAGCGGAGTCCGCGGTACGCTGTGCACTCGGCACAAGTGCAGAACGCCCTCACCTGGTTTAGCCCGACGGTCGAGACGGTTGCCCGGGGTGTGGCCGCTGAGCAGAGCCCAGCTACGTGGAGCCACAGCTGAGAGTTGGGTGCCAGCACACACACACACACACCACAGTTCGACCGTCGTTTTCGACGATGTCCACCGTGTGTCCCACAGCTGCGGCAGCCGTGGGAGCAGGGACGGTGACTTACGCAGGGGTTTATAGTGCGGGTATACTTGCGCTGCATCTACCTACACTCTCTCCTCCTCCCCCGCCTGAGCCCGGTGTCAAGACAGAGTCAAGAAGACCGGAGACGAGGGAGGCCGCAGGTGGATGGTTCGGACGGATCCTCACCTTGGCGTTCCACCACACCCCCTGGTCCACACAACAATAACCAGGATTTCAACCAACACAAGACAGATTTGGAGGCTGGCATGGCCGAAGCAGGCGCACCTAGGCGTGCCGCCAACGCCTGGCTCGGATCCCACACTGTGGTGGCAATGCCATAAAGGCCACATTAAAAAGGAGCCATTGCAGCCTGACTCTCAGACCGCCTCCAGTAATGGAGGAGGTCCAAGGTACCCCGTCAGTTGGCAACCTTCCAAGCCACGGCTTTTAGCGCACCATGATAGCTTCAAGCGCGTCAGATTGATTATAGTGAGGAGAAAGTTCCCTGAGTCGTCGACCTCACTCTCCCTTCCCATTCCCACACTCCAGCCGCCGTCCGAGCCGGTCGGCAAACTGGAGTGGGGAATGGGCGCGGTGGCTGACACGGTCGACTGACCATGCCTGCGCGCGCCACAGCACGACCTGGCCCCCCATACACACAAACACCAGGATTTCACACAACCGGGGTTGAAAGCCGTCACTCTCATTTGCATGAGAGGGCCGTGGAAGGTGCTGCTTCAGCCCGTCCCCAGCCCACCAGTCCGACATTCCACACAACCCACACACACAACGTGATGAACTGCGTGAGACGAGGGCGGGCTTCGAACATCGACCTTCCTATCCACGACGCTTGACGTGTCGGGATAGTCTCGGACTCAAGTCACCCGTGCAGCCGAAGCCGCATGGGGACCGAGTCGAGAGCACACTTCCCACTTGCGTGGAAGGTGGCAGTTGGTGCATGCGGTGGGTGAGTGTTGATGTGTGTTGTTGATGGTGGAGGAGGGTAGGGAGTGTGTGAATGTGTGGTGAAACCGGCGGTTGTCTACCGCAGTTCGTCGTGGATGCGCATGTGAACGAATAGGCCCATAAGATGCCTGAAAGTGCGAGGGCAGTTTGGGCAGTGGAGGCGAGGGCGATGGGTGTAGGTTGGTGCTCCAGGCACTGGTTTGCCAGTCTCTGTGCGATGGATTCGCAAGTGACCGACTAGGCCGATGCGCGAAGTGAAGGTGCGATCACAGTGAGGGCAGATGTAGTCCTGTCCCTCACGTCTGATGATGGAGGTTGCAGGGGTTGTGCCTGTTATTGTCTCAGGTGCGGCTGTGGTGAATTCGTGGGCAACAGAGGCCGGAGTGGCCGTCGTTATCCCAGTGAAGGAGGAAGAGGAGTATGAAGGGGAGGAGTGAGGGGTATTAAAGTCGGTGGCATCGACGGCGGTTGCGGAGAGTTTGTTGGCTGCACAAGGTTATGAAATGGGAGCGGGGCCTAGCGTTGTGGGTGTGTCAAGGCCGCGGTCAGTGCCGCTCTCATGGATGCGCATGTGCCCGAATAGACCCATGTGATGAGTGAAGGTGCGAGGGCAGTGTGGGCAGTGGAGGCGAGTGCGGTGGGCGTAGGTTGGTGCTCCAGGCACTGGTTCACCGGTCTCTGTGCGATAGATTCGCAAGTGACCGACCAGGCCGATGCGTGAGGTGAAGGCACGGTCGCAGTAAGGGCAGGTGTAGTCCTGATCCTAATCAGAGGTATCGGGAGAGGTTGGAGATGTGGTGTCGGTTGTTGTGTTGAGGTTGGTGATGTGTGAGACGGCAGTCTGAGCGGCCACCGCTACGGCAGTGGGGGAGAAGGAGGAGAAGGAGGAGGGGGAGGAGGAGGAGGAGGAGGAGGAGTAGGAGGAGGAGTATGATGGAAGTGAGGGTTCAGAATAATTGTCAGAGTTACTAGGCATTGGAGAGGACGAGGAAGATTCGGGGGGGAGGACGCCTGTTAGTGCAGCTCGAGATGCGCAGTTGATCCAGAAATGTCCAAAAAGTCCGATTCGAGCCCGGTATGCCCGGTGACACCGAGGATACGTTGGAAGCGGGTGTGCGTCGGCGTTGCGAACTAGGAGAAGACGTGATTGGCGGGCGTCGGGTTAAAATTCGGCGACGCAATTCGGGTGGCCTCATAGATCGCAGCGCCTGTCTTCACTTTCCTCCTCCAGGTCGGTCGGTCGGTCGCGGGCGAGGTTTTCCCAGTGTGTCGGGTTAATTTGCAGAGGGTCTAGGGAGGACTTCGGAGTATCCTTGTATCGGCAAATTT